GGAAGCTGGCACCTCTGTAGTCCTTAAACCTCACCACTCTGTTTTAATAAGCTGTGAAACCCAAGCCATGGGTCTGTCCAGCTCTCTCACCACCCAACGGCTGCACGAAGGTCGAGTCTGGTTTGGGGAGAAGCTGTCCCATTGGGGTTCTCAAGACTCTAAAACACCTCAGCAAAGCTGAGGGCTTGTTCCCAAGAGCTGAAGGAATTTCCATCCCTGCCTGGTTTTGCTGGCTGGGAACAGGTTGCACAGTCAAAGGGGGTTTGTAGTGCCATATCCCTCAAGAATGTCCTGGAATGGTGGAGTTCCCATCCAAGTGTAACCAGTGGAGGCACACAGAATCACAGAATATGTCAAGTTGGAAGGGACCCACAAGGGTCATCGAGTCCAACCCTTAGCCCTGCGCAGGCCCATCCCCAAGAGTCACACCCTGTGCCTGAGAGTATCATTCAAGCACTCCTTGAGCTCTGTCAGCCTTGCTGCTGTGCCCACTGCCCTGGGGAGCCTGTTCAGTGCCCAACCACCCTCTGGGTGAAGAACTTCTTTCTAATATCCAACCTGAACCTGCCCTGACACAACTTCAGGCCATTCCCTGGGGTCCTGTCCCTGGTCCCCACAGAAGAGAGCTGTGTGTGTGCCCCTCCTCTTCCTCTCATGAGGAAGTTGTAACTGCGGTGAGATCTCCCTCAGTCTCCTCCAGGCTGAACAGACCAAGTGCCCTCAGCTGTTCCTCATATGGCTTCCACCACTAGTGCATCTCTCAAATAGGGGGCTGTGGGTGGTTGTGCTTATCCAAGCCTGGGACTGTGTTTTGGAGAATCCCTCCTGGGCACTGATGCTGGAGAGACCCTAGATGTGGTATCTCCCCAGAACAGCCCCCCATACCCAGCCTGTGTGCGTGGGAAGGGTATTGCTCTCCTGGTTGCACCGCGAGTCCTGTGAGGGCTGGAACGAGCGCTGCCGCTTCCCGTCTCCACTGCAATGTATTTTTACCCAAACATTGCTCATATTGTTCAGTTGATGACTACTTTTTTTGTTGTCGTTGCGGTTTTTAAGCCAAACAACATATTTGCCCCCCCCCCCCCTGCAATTTGTGCCAGCAGAAAGGAAGGAGGAGAGAAACGGCTCTGGGTAGGAATTGTTTTGTGGGAGACGTGCAAGCGAATAGGGGAGCCATAAGGAGAGCAAATCGCTTTCCAAATAGCATATGGGGGTGGACAGGATGGAGGTGTACGTCAGGAACGTGTACCGTGCTTCACAAAGGTACGGTGACCTTCAGCTGTGTCCTCAAAGTGCTGCCAGAAAGGGAAGCCGATTTTGCGGAGGCTGAAAAGCCTCGTGATTCCTCTGCTTCAGCCCTTTCCTGGGGTGGCCGTGCTGCTGAAGGCTTTTGCTGTAGAACAAGGGGGAGATTGAGATCGGAGCATTGTGCCAAACCTCGGGGTGGATCTCACCACCTCTGCCAGGCTGGAGAATCTCTCAGCGTGGTGACGAAGATGTGAGCTCAGTAGCCCTGATGGATTTATCTCCTGGAAACCGTGGATGGGAGAGAAGGCGGTTTGGCAAGCTCTGCTCGAGGAGAGGAATGGTCCTGTCACCTCCAAAATGTGTCGTGCTCGGCCAGCATTGGGAGGAGCTGGTGCCCAGGCACTGGTGATGTGGCTGTGTCGTGCCAGGGAGGAGAGCAGTGTGTGGGTAGTGTGGAGGTGCCAGGAGCTGCTGCCTGAGCCTGTCTTTGACACAGGCAGTCCAGGGATGTGTAGAATAGAATAGTTCAGTTGGAAGTGATCTACAAGGACCATCCAGTCCAACTGCCTGACCACTCCAGGGCTGACTGAAAGTTAAAGCAAATTATTAAGGCCCTGTCTACCCTGCAGTGGGATTTCTTCCCATCCTTTTCTGAACAATTAAAACCTCAGAGGGCTGCTGTGGGGAGGCCCAGGTGGCAGTTTGTAGTGGACTGTCTCTCTCATGGATATGATGGACACCCCCATGGCCAGCAGGGTCCCACCAACCCCAGCAAGTGCTGTGTTACGGTGCAGTGGTCTCTTCTCCCTCCCTTTTGGCACTGTTGGCAGTGCATGAAAGGCCCTCCCTTCATCCTTCACCCCTGCTGCTCACACAGTTGAATCTCAGCTACCTTTCATTTGTCACTGAGAGTTTTCTCCATGCTGCTCACTCTTGTCAAACTGTGCTTGCTGAGATCATGTCAGGGAGGGTCTTTTCCCATTTCTCTTTTTCTCTCCTTTCCCTTTTGCTTTTCTTTCCTTTCCCCTTCCCTTCTTTCCTCTTCCCTTTTTTTCTTCTCTTCCTCATTTTACTTTTCTCCTCTCTCCTTCCCTTCTTTCCTCTTCCCTTTTTTTCTTCTCTTCCTCGTTTTACTTTTCTCCCCTCTTCTTCCCTCTCCCATTTCCTGTCTCCAAACCCCTGAGCTCAGGGACATGGAGCAGCCAAGGACATGCTGGCACACACAAGCTGTGCAGAGCAGTGAGACACACCAACTCTTTGCTCCCATTCCTGCAGTATTTGTAGCGCCATCCCAAATAGCTGGCAGCTGAAGGACCCTCTCCTCTTCCTGCAAAACTTTCCTCCTGATTTTGGGCATTTGTTCCACTGACAGGCACAGGAGCAGATGCCCTGGGATGGATGTGCCAGCGTGGTGGCCAGATGGGTACGATCACCACAGGGTCCCTGCTCCCATCAGCTGAGCAGGGACCCATGAGAGTGCTGTGACCTCGCTGTGCTTTGCTGCTCACCGAAGGCACGGCCCTCTCCTCCTCCTCCCTCCTGTGCTCTCCTGCTGGCCTCCTTTCAGTAAATAAGCCTCAGCCGTGTGGTTCCCGAGCTCCCTGCTCCACTTCCACACATCCTGTATCACACAGCCCCGAGGTTTGGGTAACTCACCATCTGTTCACAGGGAGGCCCTGCCATGTGTGTTCCTGGGTGAAGGAGCTGTGGGGACGGGCTTCCCCCCGTGAACACGGTGGGAGGCTGAGCTGCCCTGGTGCTGCCACGGCATCATTCCCTGGCACCTCGGGTTGGATTTGTGCTGTTGGGGTGGGACTAGATGGTTTTTAGAGTCCTTTCCCTGCTCTTGATGTATTTTTTCCCTTGTGAGGATGTCTGCTGGGGCATCTGACAGCACAGGATTCGGCTGCGCCTGCCGTAAACGTCGGGGGCTTTGGGGAGCTTTGTCTTTTATCTGTGGTTCCTGGGGGAGCCTGGTACTGGGAAACTGGAATACATAACGTAGATGGTCCCTTAGGCACCACTCTCTCCAGAGCTCTCCCGAAATGGTTCCCACTGTTGGTGCTTACGCAGGCAGCGGGTTTGATCCTCATCTCCCTGTTGCCTGGTGTGGCAGCTCTGGCTGGCTGGATGCTCTCCCTCTGTCTCCCAGTACAGCAGCTCTAGGTGGATGGATCCTCTCCTGAGCCCTCTGGATGCACCTGTGCCTGCAGGCACAGCCTCTCTGGTGCTCCCCCTCCCAGTGGCCCCAGCAGATTTTGGAACTTTCTCTGCAGCCTGCAGCGGTAGAAAAGCACCCTTCGGTGCTCTAAAGCCTCCCAACCCTGGGGAGGCTGAGGCCTTTGGAATTTGGGGAGAAGGAAGGGGGAGCTGCTCTGTGGGCTAGTGTGGCACAGGGTGCTCTGCTCCCTGTGGCATGGGTGCCTGTTGGAGAGTGCTGCAGGCTCCATGTTTAGGTCAGATCCTTGTCTAGAATTACAAATGTCTCATCCTGCATGGCCAGCTTCTCAGTCCCCCCTGAACGGAGCTGCACCATGCCGGGAAGGGAATTGGAGTCTGTGGTCCGGAGCAGTTACGCACCCTGAGCTCACCGGGTGCCTGAGGAGCTCCATGCACGTCTGATGTGTCTGGATCTGGGAAATGTGATGGGGTGATACATCAGCCTGTACCTCCTGGCAGGCAGGGAGCTCCAAGGTGCTCACTTATCCCTTATCCAAGCAGGATGTGACAGGGCTATAGGACTGCTGGTCCCTGCCATCTCCATGTGGGCACGCTGCAGGCAGTGGGAACTTCTGGAGCTCATCAAAGGGACTTGGTGACTCTGGAAATGGAGACAGGACAGGGGTTATGTTCTGCTAATGAGTTTATTCAAGGAGCTGACAGAGGCCAAACTGATGTTGAACGTGGGAGACCTCCGTGTCCTGCAGGACAGACCTTTTGATCCCGAATTTTACCTTTGCTCTTTGTGAGTGGCTTCATGATTTCCCATAACTGCCCACTGGGTGGGTGTGTGTGGAGCTTCAATAAAGGCCTGGGGGGATTTTTTGGCATTACTGAATTGAGGCTGATGTGAGAGCAAGGAGCAGAGTTGCTTAAATATCATCAAGCTGTGATGTGCCATGAGGTGTTGCAGGAAGCTGTTTCCTGAACTTAGGTGCTGCATCCCAGTGTGTGAGTGCAGCCCCTGGAAGACCCCAAGGAATCCTTCTGCAGCTCAGAGCATGCCTGGGCCAGCTGCACATTGTTTTCCTGCTTCCACTCCAGCCTTCCCTATTGCTCTGTAATCCTAAATTTGCCTATTGGGGAGTTTCCACCCCTCCAAAAGGGCTGCCATGGTTGGGGTTTGACTCCAAGCTCCTGGGGCAGAGTTAAACCTGACCCAAAGCCAGCTCAGCGCTTGGGGTGTTCCTGTGTGATTTGAACCTTCAGGCTGTAGTTTGGATAAGGGCATGATGCTTCTAAGTGCCCTGTGTGCATGTGGGAGAACAGGCAAAGAACAATCCAATGTTCTGGAAAGCAGTGTGGAAAATGCAATTTCCATAAAATCACAATTTTCTTATTTCTGTGGCTTTGGTAGGACTTGGAAAGTTCTGGATGGGTCTCTGTGGGTGATATTGGAGGGTCTTAACAGGGCTCCTGCCTCAGGAGTTGGCGTCGGCTCGCGCTGTCCTCTGTGAGGAAGGACTTGTACAGGCGGGGGGACGTGGTGGCCCTGTCCTCTTCTAACCACAGTCCCTTTGCTGGTGTTGCAGCTCCCGAGGTGACGCAGGAGACGGTGGAATCCCTGATGCAGAAGTTCAAGGAGAGCTTCCGCACCAACACGCCCATCGAGATCGGGCAGCTCCAGCCCGCGCTGCGCAGCACGTCCGTGGGGAGACGGAAACGCCGGAGCCGCCCCCGAGGTAGGATGTCGTGGGCACCACCTGCTCCCCCAGTGACCAGGTCTGGAGGAGTTTGGCTGGGGAGGAAGGAGGGAGCTCCCCCACCCTCCCTGCTGAGCGTGGGGACACCAGAGCTCCTCTGTGAGGGGGTAAAGAGGGGCAAACCCCACGCAGCAACCTCAGGGTGGTGTGGCGGAGGTGCTTGGGACTCCTGTTGCATGTATCTCTTCCAATGGATTCTTCCAGGTCTGCTGCAAGTCCAGAGTCCCTGGACTCACTGAGGTGGGAGTGAAACAGTTTCTTGGCAAGTTTCTGTTTCACAAAGGGGTGAAGTTCATTTTGGCTCTGACATCACTGGGACCTCTCTTCTTTCTGCTTTCCCAGTGCCTAGGGGTTTTTGGACTCCACACAGGGTGGGAGCAGCATTCATGAATCTAAAGGATCAGCATTCATGGATCTAAAGGCTGTACTGTGCAAAAGGCTTTGTGGAGGGATCGGGTCCACATTTCCACCTGTGGAGGAGAAGGGAGTTGTCAGGGTCCCTACAGGGGTGATGGGCAGGGGGATCCCTTGGCCATGGCCTGCCCGCTGCACTGAGGGTCTTTGTGGCAGCACCGGGAGCTGGAAAGGAAAAACTTTTCTTTCTGTTTACTGTTGGTTTTCTTTTTCATTTATTTACGAGTCTGAAATGTGATCTTTTATTCTGGATACATTTTCCTGCAAAACAGGCCTGGAGAGGGCTTTTCTTTATTATAGCTCTGCCCATAAATTATTCACTTACTGTGAAGAGAATGTTCTGACTCTTTAACTGGTTTAAATTATTTGGTTTGTTTTCTAGTAGTTATTCAAATACGTGTCTCTGGATTTTAGTGTGTGTGTGGGTGGGTGCTTTTGGGGTCCACAGAGACTGTCTGGGGAAATTTCCCTGATTCCCTGCTCCAGCTTCTTTTTTTGTGTGTGTGTTTATTTCACTTTTGAACTGCCTGAAGGTAAGAAGCTTTTTGGTCACTAATGGAACAAGTCAGTTAATCCTTGCAGCTGGTCTTAGGAGGAGACACAATGCCCAGCTGCATGCAGAGCCTCTGGCTGTGTGGGAGCAGAGTGTGGCCCCGAGCCAGCCTGGCTTGTCCCCAGTCTCTGGGGACACCCTTCACCCCATTTCCCACCTCCCCAGGATTCCTCTGCCTATTAGTGGCCACGGGAATAGTCTCTGGATAACAGGACAAGAGCGCCCTTGGTCACTCTGCATTTCTCCTCGTACTGGTGTTTCTTCAATGTGAGAGTTGGAGATTTGTTTGTACCCAACGTGTGTGTGGCATGAGGAGCCCAAGACATAATGTATCCCATGGGCTTCAGGAGGGGACCCTGACTTCCAGTGTCCCCACCTACAGGATGCCTCACCAGCACACCCTAGAGAAGAGATTTTAAGGTCTCAAATCATCAGGAATCAGTGAGCAGCCCCAACAAGCCAGCCAGTCCCAGCATCTCCAGTGGAGTTCTCGCTCCCTATAGCCCCATCCCATCCATCCTCTTTTCCCAAATTCTCTTTGCTTGTGGAAGTGGTGGCCGGGCACCGCTGCTGAGCTGATCCATGCCTTTTCCTGCCTTTTCCCTGGCCTCTCCTGAGCCAGAGGTTTTGTTTTACAGCCTGTGGTTACTTGTCCTTCCGGAAGGCAAGCGGCTGGAGTGCGAGCGAGCGCTCAGGTTAAAGGATGATACCACAAATCAGGATGTTTTCGTTTTCCATCCAACTGCAAACACAAACCCTTTGCCTCATTAATCCATTGCAATTCACGAGACTTTTTTTTTTCCCTCCCCTTAAATGAATTTGTCCATTTGGGATACATTTATTTCCTCCTAACGGCCGCATGACAGTTCCGCTGATGGAGCTTGCATCCAACTTTGTTCCTGGGTAGTGACAAGTCGGCCTGACGGATGCCTGTGTGTAATTATTTCTTGTGGTTTAATTTAATTAATGCTTAACCTCATCAGAGCCCTACAGCTGGAGCGCTCTCCCCTCAGGAACCGTGCACAGCAGAAGGATTTCCTCCTTTATGGAAAGGCTCTGAAAGGGTTTCCGAGTGCTGAAAGGGTTCCCATCAGGACGATGGGATAAACCATCCAAAACAGAAAACAAACAACCCAACCCAGCCAGCACAAGGAAAACCAATCTGGGATCAACTTTGTTTTGCTTCACTTCTCTGCACTGAGTGTGTTTAAACTGCTGCCCATTGCTCATCATTAAATCTGGTTCTGTGCTGAGTGTTTCCAGCAGCTCTAGGAAAAGGGATATTTTTCCAAGTGCATTGACTTTAAAAAAAAAACAAACCAAAACAACACCACCTTCTCCGTTTACAGTGCTATATAACTTCATTTTGTCTAATGCCTCTTTCATACAACCTCTCTCCCTAAACACTTCGACTGAGTGAAGTGTGTTTAGAGGTTATAAATAATAGAGGGAGAGTGAGGATAGTGAGAGCCGAGGGGCAGGAGGGGTGGGCTGGAAGTTGGAGATCTCCATGGGGGCTGGCAGTGCTGGAGGGAAGGATGCTGAGTCCGAGAGCGTTTGTAGTTCCCAAAATGTAGCCAGGTGGTAGCCAGACATCCCAACCTGGCTGCACCAGAACTGGGAAGTGATGCCCTGGAAAACATGGGGAGAGGCAGCAGGGCAGGGACAGAGGGTGGGGATTTGGCCAATGGACCACCCTGTGTGTGCGGACGCAGGGGCTGGGTGGGACGTTGGCATGTGGGGCTGGGGGGTGGCCTTGGGGTGGCTGGTGTGTGCAGAGAGGGGGTCTGGTGCCCTCTCCTGGGGCAGGGCTTTAAAAGCACCCTGGATTTGGGAAGAAATAACCCATAATGATCCTTCTCCTCAAACAGGATGTGCTGTTTATCAGGATGTGCTGCACAGTGGGGCTGCAGCTTCTTGTGGTTTGGAGGTTTTGGCTGTGCCCTGAGTGACCCAAAGTTCCCTGAGGAAGGAGAGTTGAAACTCATCTGAGTTCATCCTTAGTCCCTGCTTTTGCCAGGACACATCTGCCTGACCTCACTCTGTCCATCTGTCCCGTGGTGCCTGTGCACCATCATGTTTTGCAGGAAAGGCTTTTTGAGGCTTTAGCCGGGAACTTTTGCCTCCTCTGAGTCAAAGTATCATGTCCAGATCTGTGAGTTGTCCTTGGTGAAAATAAAACCCTTCACAGCTGTGCAAGGGCTGTTGTCTGGGAGCATTCCATAGTAGAAGCCATGGGACCATCACCTTGTTGTTACACCACCCACAGTGGTGGGTTTTTTTGGATATAGACAGAAGGAAAAGGGACAATAAATGAGGAGGAAGAGCCTTCCTCAGTGTGTGTGAATGTACCACTGCCACAGGGCACTTAATTTTAAAGGGCTTCTCTTCTTTATCCTTTTTTTACATTGACTGGGTAAGTTTCAAACACGAATGTTCGTGTATTTATTTATTTTTTTTTTGTCCCTAAATCTGCATCTAACTTACCTTTCTCTGGCCACGTTTAGTTTTTCAGTTGGCTGGTGCTCTTTTCAGTGTTAAATTAATTAAACTGAAAATTCTCACTTAGCTAATTGCATTGCTCTGCACAGCTCTGCCAGCCCTCAGTGCATGGACCTCGCCACCGAGCTGGCATGGTGGGGAGGGCACTCCTCATCCAGCTTTTACTGGGAAGTTTGGAAGCAGAGAAGCTTGTTGAACACCCAGGAGACTGTGCTGCATGGGGCAAGTGAGCGTGGAGCGGAGTGAACCCCACACGGTCGAGCAGGGAGGTTGTGGGTCTTGAATTCTGTGATATGTGCAGAGTTTGGCCCTTTTCCTGGAGGGAAGGGGTGCAGAAACTCCCTTTTCAGTTGACAGTAGTTGCAGGGCAGGGGGATGCATAAAGATGTCACCCAGGTTGGCACCACTGGGGACAAAAACAAGCTCCCACTTCCATTTTAACATGCAGCTTTGAGAGATTAAGTAGTTGAGGTCGATTTGGCCTCAGACAGGAGTTATCCAAATAGCTCCTGTTACTTATTTTGTTATTTAAACTCCATTTTGGTTTGTTTTGTATCCATAGTTATTTTCTTAAGATGCTCTGTGACCTACAGGCTTTGGGGAAAGGATTAAAAATGTCAGGTTTGCTTTTTATTTCCTCATTAATGCCAAAAACTCACTTTTAAAAAAAAACATACACGTGGCTTTTAGCTAACAGAATTCTTTGGGGATAACGGAGCCTCTGATTCCTGAATTTTATTTCTGTAGTCCCCACTCGGCATTAAAGCTACCATCTTTAATTACACCCTAACGAGGTGTTTGCCTTGGCGCCCCGCCTTGCTCCCCACTAAATTAATGTTGCACTCAGAACAAGCGCCCTGCCCGGGTGCCTGGCTGAGCTGAGATCTATTTGAACGGATTAACGAGCTTGTAAATCTGCAAACAGGATTAAAAACAAGAGCATCTTCTTTGAGCTCCCCCTCCTCGCCCCCTTGCTGCCTGGGGGCTGAGCCATGCATGAGGCAGGGGTGTGGGTGAGGAAGGGGAGCTTCGTTTTCTCTCCAGTCTAAATAACAGGAGTGAACTGTGTGTAAAGGGGGTGTAACTCCTTGGAGGAGTCACTGGAGAGAGTTGCTGGTGCATTACGGGTACCCGGTGCTGCAAAGTTGCCGTTTCCCTGTTCTGTCTTTTAAGCATCTTATTCCACTTTGTAATCGGTTGCAGTGATTAGGGTATTTTTTTTCTGATACTTGGTGGTTTTCTCCATGTTTTCAAAGGAAGAGGAATGCTGACCAGGCAGGGCTGCTTGGCTTTAACTGGGTGCTGTCCTTATTCATCCCCATCGGCACCTGCACGAGGGTGCTCTCTGCTGTGAGCATCCTCAGCCCCATCATGTGATTATCCTGGGCCCGTGTCTTGGCAGCAAGCTGCAACAGGCTGGTTGTTGAGCTGGATCAGTAGGCATTGCCCCAGTTGTGAATGTCTCACAGGGGTCATTCAGCAAGATTTTGGGGCGAGTTAAACATGAAATCAAGTTTACAGCAGGATCGGTTGAGGATTAGCGTTCCTGCATCCTCCAGGTTGCCTCAGCTGGGTTCCAGGACCCCTAAAACCACCACCAAGATGTGTTCTGGCATCTTTGGTAACACAAAGGAATAAAAGCACATCCCTGGCAGCCGTGTCCCTGCCCTGGGCTCGTGTTTCCAGGCTGACCTCTGCCACTGCATGTAGGGTCAGAGGAGTTTCCGCTCCGGGCTGGGGACCTGCGCTGGGTCTCCTGACTCCTGTATTTATACATCCTGCGCAGTGCTGGGTAATCAGAAAATGCAATATCGCTGTCACCAGCTCTCTGAAGACATCCAGCCTGAGTAATTTAACATGTCAGCTCCATCCATCACGGAGACGCAGCCGGCAAACAAACGCGGAGCGGCCGGCGGGGGCTGGGCCGGTGGCGGTGGAGCAGCTGCTGCCTGTGCCACTGCCCGGTCCCCTCGGCGGGGTGTGAGAGCAGAGAGAGCACCGGATCGCTGGCTCTGTCCACCCCAGCCATCTGCCTGTCCAAAAGGGGCCAGGTCTGGTGCACGGGAAGGTGGCAGAGGGACGTGCCATGTCCTTCCTGCGCAGGCAGCAGCCAGGTCCGTTTCCCAGGCAGAGATGGCTGTGCTGAGCTCCTGGGGAAAAAACCCTCCTGTAGCTGGTCTCTGTCTTCCAGCCCTGGACACTGTGGCTGCAAAGGGGCCCAGGGCAGCCCCTTCTCAGAGAGAATGGGATGTGCAGTAGGGCTGCAGTCCTGGCTGGTTGCCCAAGGGCCTGTGTTAGAAGCCCAGATTAATTAAGATTTTTCTCGCTGATGTGAATAAGCCTGATTGGTTTTACCACTCCGCTGTGCCTTTCAAACCCCCAGACCCTGGGTGTGGGTGCGTCATGGCACTGGATGTTTGCTGTGTTGTTTGTGTCTGAGGAGGGGCTGATGGTGGGTTATGGTTTGGGGTGTGAGTCTATAAACCCAGCAGCCCACATTTCCAGGCATTAAACACTGCTGTGTTTAAGCAGTGACCCCTCCTGCTGCTTTCAGGAGGAGCCTCTTCCTGTTCTCCCCTCTGTTAAGACACCCCTTCACCCCCTCTGAGGGCACTTCTTGGCCAGCTGAGGGCATGGACAGGGCAGGAGCCACGTGTGGAGCTCCCAGTGTCCCGCTGGCTCCTGCCAGCCACCTCTCATCGCAGTGATTAAGGATTTCAGAGGGCAGAAGGCATCGCTCATTTTCTGTTCTCCTGCCAAGAAATGGGGAAATGGTGCTTCTGCCTAGAATAAAGGATTTTTTAAAAACAGTAAAATATTTTAATGGCAGTTTAAAGGGCCACTGTCAACCCCCAGAGGCCTCTTTGCTTTAAACTCTGCAAGGATTGAAGGACTTCTGCCAGTTAAAGTCTGCGTCACTTTTAAAGCATTCATCACTCCTTGGTGTGTCCGGGGCTGAAGCCAGCTGAGCTCCTCCTGCATCCTGCTCCATATCCAGCCCAGAGAGGAGGATGCCAGGTAAACCATGGGCCAGCCCTGCTCCTGTCAGTCCTGGCCACTGCAGGAACATGTGCTGCTGGTTGTCATGGTGAGCTGGGGGAGCAGACGGGCCAAAGCAGGTGATGAGAGAGAGAAGTGGGACCTTTGCCATGCAGTGGGGTCGTGGGTGCCCCTCAAGAGCTGCGTTCCTCATGTACTGCTTGTCCCTGCTGGGTTTGCTTTGAAGCAAACACCTAAAATTCACTGTACTTCACTGTGTCCTTGAGGAGAGCAGCTGCTACACTCAGGGCTTTCCTTTGTAAATACCTTGAAATACATTTGTATTTTGCATTCTTGAGGGTAGAAAGCATCTTCTTACGTTCACATCGCAAACTGGCATCATGGAGTCTTGATTTTTGATGAGGGCAATTAGGAACCAGTGAAATCATGAGCGGCAAAAGTCCCTGGTCACTTCTGGTGACCCCAAGTAGAGCATCTTAGTGAGGAGCAGTGGATTCTGGCCAAATCTGGCATCTCTGCCAAGGAGCTTCTCCTGCTGCTGAGCATCCCAGCTGACAGGGCTGATTTCTTCCTCTCTGTTGCTTGCAGGTGGGATCGGGTTTGGACGTGCCAAAGGAAACTCTGGCTCAGAGGCGGATGATGAAACCCAGCTCACCTTCTACACGGAGCAGTATCGGAGCCGGAGACGAAGCAAAGGTACAAAATGACACAGTGATTGCACATGGGGGAAAAAATGGTGGAGCACTTTGATTGTTCCCACGGGTGATGGTGTCTGACATTGCCTGAGTCTAAAGGACGGCCATACCAGTCTGTGGTGGTAAGGCATCCCAAGATGTGCTGTCTGTGTGATGCAGCACCGTGCAGGAGCCATAAATCATGTTTCCCGGTGATGTTGCTGAGGTTCTGGGTTTCTTTGATGGTTTCTAATATCAGTTTTCTTCCACGTGCCCTGGCACTTCCCCAAAGCTGCACCAGCAGGGAGCGATTGTGTCCGTCATCATCCTGGCGCCAGTGCAGCTGTCAGGGCTGGTCACCTTGGCAATTCCTTGCTCCAAACTCCCGTTTTCTGCCCTTTATTTCCCATGCAAAGCATTCGTTGGATGAAAGTTTCCTGGCCTTCCTCTTGGCACAAAGGCAATTAAAAGGAACAAATTCAAAATGAGGGTTGGGGCAGGGATTTGTAGACCAAAGTCCCTTCAGGCTCTTTTGTGCGTTAGAGAAGCTGAGAAACTGAAATATCATCTGCAGTTTGAAATTAGTGCCCGTGTTTCCTGCGGTCACACCACGTTGGATCATTTTTGTTCGGGACTCTCGGCCCGAGCTGTTTGGCAGAGGGGAGGACGATCCTTGCAGCTGCTGCTGCTGCTGCTGTGTTTGAAAAATCACAGTCGGGAAATAACTCCGTTGGGAAGCAATTTAAAACTCGCACAGTGGGCCTGCTCCCTCCATTTGTTTTGTGCGTGAAGCCGGGCCTCGGCACAGCGCAGCAGCCAGATAGATGCCGGTACCCACCGCGGCACACGCGGCCCCATTTGTTTCCATGATGAGCCATTCCCATAAATGCTCTCCCAATGTGTTTATTTGAATGTGAAATTACCTCAGCACCTCTGATCAGCTCGGTGGTTGCACACGGGAATGAACACGCGCGCGCACAGGGGTGCACTGCATTTGTTCCTGCTGAAAGGCTGGGCCTTCAATTTTATAGGTTTGTTGTTTTTCTTTTTTCTCTCTTTTCCGTGTGTTTTAGAACCATGAGAAATTATCGCTGAGTTTAAAATGAGCTTTTGATGAAAAGCAGGGAGAGGAGTCGTGAGTTTTAAAGTTACCTGTTGCAGTATGAACACAGCTGCATTCAGGGGAAAATCATAGAATCAGAATCACAGACTGGTTTGGGTTGGAAGGGACCTTAAAGACCTTCTTGTTCCAGCTCCCTGCCATGTGCAGGGACACTTCCACTAGACCAGGTTACTTAGAGCCCCAGCCAACCTGGGCTAGGATGCTCCCAGGGATGGGGCACCACATCTTCTCTGGGCAGCCTGTGGCAGTGTCTCATTAACCTCACAGGGAAGAGTTTCTTCCCAATATCCAGTCTAACCCTGTCAGTGTGAAGCTCTTCCCCCCGTCCTGTCACTATATAGCCTTGTCCAAAGTCCCCCTCCAGCTCTCTTGTAGGCTCCCTTCAGGAACCAGAAAGCTAGAATAAGGTCTCCCAAATCCTTCTCTTTTCCAGGCTAAACAGCCCCAACTCTCTTTCCTCAGAGGAGAGGTGCTCCATCCCTCTAATCATCTTTGTGGCTGTGTGAGAGAAGGAAGAAATTATTGTATTGCAAACAGGGACAAAAGAAACTGTCCCAAAACAGGGACAGGGGGTAAATTTCCTGAGTGCTGGAGTAGTGTTTTTCAAGGAGTTATTCTGCAATACTTGGCTGGATGTGAAAGCCCTCGAGTACTTTGGAAAAGTCACTAAAGTTTGGGTTTTTTTCAGCTTCCACTAGAGAAAGGGGTGATGTTGTGCGAGGAAGGTGTGGAAAATTGTGTTTTAATGAAAAGCAGATAAGTTTTTGCAGGGCTGCCTTGACGCCATTCCCCCAGGTCAAGTGCTCTGCCAGCCTCTTGAAAAGCACTCGTACTTGATGCCAGGTACAAAGATATCCTTATCGACGTATGTGTTGGGTTTGGGTTGTTTGTTTAAGCTTCCTGGTAGGGCAAATATAAATGAATAGGATAGATGAATGGGAAGAATTCCTTTCTTTTCCTGTGAATAAGCTGTTGTTCACCTGGGCAGCTTTGATGGCTGGGTTTGAAGGGAATTCAGGAGGCAGAGCTGCCTCGCGCCGTTGCACGGAGCTGGATGTTAGATCTGCGTTAGCGTTTGAGCAGTGCTGTGAGAACCTGGTTTGTTCGTGTTCACTGGTGGCTAACGGAGGGAATTGTCTTGCATAAAGTCCCCATTGTACTACCCCTCCTGTCTAGCTAAATTTTGCCATCACTGCGTCCTTGAAAAGAATTTTCTATTATCTTTTCATTGACTCCTCTCTCCCTCATGGAAGGAAAGCAATAGCGCAGTGGGAAGTCCTAGTACCAAACTCATAATTACAAGTTCAGCCAAGATCCATAATTGGACGGGATCGTAACTCTAATAGAGAAGGATGCGTCGTCAGATACAGTTAATTCTTACAATGATGTTCCCATATTGATTTTGCTGTGCTTGCGTGTCGTTGCAGGTGCTGTCAGATAGTTATCAGGTCCAAGGAGAGAGATTCCTTGGGGTTTCTCTCCTCAGATGAAGTTTTGCAGGATTGAGCCTAATTACTGGTACTGTCAAGGCATTGATCCCAGACCATGGGAGGGGAGTTGCCACTCAGGTGGTGCATAGGTTTGGTTGTATTTGAGCTTGGTTGAAGCTGGGTGGTTAAGTGGTTGTGTGTCTCCTGGAGAAAGAGGACAGCAGGTTCTCTAGTGCCTTGGCAAGGTTTATTGAAGGGACATTCCTACAGGTCAGTATGAGCAAGGGAGAGCCTGTTCTGTTAGCTCAGGACCAGCAGACCCGTTGACACCTGGTTTTCAGTGGTGGAATACATGGAGAAGTAAGTCTGATCAGACCAGGTATGGAGTCAGGGATGGCTGAGGCATCACCTTCTGTGCTCCCAGCACACTGCACCACTCATCCTCCCAGCTTCTAAGTCTGTGGGGTGCCCTTACACTTATGTTCCCTTGTCTTTGGGAAGTCCAGAGACATTATAGGGGAGGAGAGTGTAAGAAATAACGCAGAGGACACCTTTCTGTGGAGCCTTGGTCTTTTGTCTGCTGTTGGGCTCAGCCCCATCTCTGGGATTTGAGCTGGAGGGGCAATGCAGATCAGCAGTGTCCCTGGGGAGCTGGGTCATGCCTAGAAGTGCTCTGTTCATACCCATCTTCAGTGAGACATCTCTTCTCTTTGCCATGGCCCCTGCCTGTGCCCATGCCAGCTCTGCACCCTCTGCTTATTTTTGAGGGATCAGTATGAGCCCTGCTCTAATGGCAGTGCTGACAACAGGGCTGACATGTACTCTTAAGGGAGCTGGAATTTGGACTGTTTTTCCAAGTGAAGCAAGTCCTGAGAGAAGCTCTGTGCTCAGAGGCTGGAGGGACCCTCAGCTGGGTCCAGGGATGCTCCTTCCTGCTGACCCTCAGTACTGACTCCTTGAGGTTTTCCAGAAATCAGATTTTATTGCAACCTGATTGCAACATGTTTGTGCACTCCAAGGCTCTGCTTTTCATGGGGGCTGGCTCTCCCCTTTCCCACCCCCATGGGAGAATCTGGAAACACGGGAACCTCTTTGCATGCTGACTGTGGTACACAGATGGCTCTTGTCTCCTGGGCTGCCTGTCATTGCACATTTCACCAGCATTGAAGTCTTGTGAGGGAGAACCTGCCAGTGTTGTAAAGATGTGACTCCACACCCCCCGCTGTCCATCACAGCCGATATCAAAGCTTTGATACTTAGTTCCTCTCTCTGGAGCAGGGTGGGATGTGTTCAGTCAGGTCACCCTCTGAGTTTGAGAGAAAAACATAGTAGCAAAAGTCACCCTAAACCAAGGAGGCAGAGCCCTGTGCCTGAGGCAGAGCCCTGTACACAAACCTCGCTTGTGCGTCACTCCTGCTCCGTCCCCCTTGCCCCGGGGCGGTGTTTGCCTCCTGCCCAGCAAAATATATTCATCTCCAGGTCTGAGTGTGCAGTCCCAAGCTCCCCTGGTGACAGGCAGCCCAATGGCTGGTCAGATAGAGAAAGATGAGGGGAAGAAGCAGCATTGTAACTCCAAGGCCGTACCAGGGTCTGTGTCCAGCTCGTTAAGGACTCAGTGAATCTAATGAGCCCTCCTTGCTGGAGGGGAGGCAAAAGTGAGTTTTCCCCACCTCCCTCTGCTTTCTCAGGCCACAGAGCAGCTGCTCTGTAACACAGAAACGTGCAGCAGATGCTGTGCAGCTCCCTGGGTTGGGGGTAACTGAGGCAGAGAAAGTGATGGCATCATATGGAGACCCTGCAAGGGGCTGAGCCATCCCAAGCCAATTTGTCTGGGAGATCCAGAGACTCTGTGCCCTCTCCTGCAGCCTAGATGTTGTCTGAGCCCCTCGGCCCTGCTGGGAGCCCCTGTATCCCAGCCCCTGGGACCTGCCAGGGGTCTCTGCAGCTGCTGGCAAACCCCTGGGTTGCTGGAAACCCAGGTACAAAGTGGAGCGTGGGATTCAAAGCAATGCTGTTGCTCACGTGATGGTTGAGATGTACCGGAGGGCACCTGGCACAGTGTCCACCTGTCTGGGGTGTCTCATGGTATGACCTCAGCTGGCTGCTGCTCCTCAGGCAAGCTCTGGCATCTGTTTCAACCTGAGCTGGACCACCCTGAGCCCACTCCCCCACACTGGGGTCTGGAATTGCTTCACTCCTCTCAGCATCACCTCTATTGCAGCCTGTTAAAAGAGGAAGGGGGGAAGTACTCACCCAGTTTTCATGGGTAGCTGTTGTTCAGATGGTACCTTCCCATCCCAGGAGAGCTCCCCACCAGGGAAGGGAGGACTTGGTTTTGGGGTGCTCCTCAACTGAGGTCTCCATGAACAAGGCACCTGGCTGTTCCCATAGCACGCAGGGATGGTTTTGACAAATTAACAGAGTTCAATTATGTACCTTGGATTGGTGTCAACCACACGGGTGTGCACG